TTCGTAACAACTGTCAAAACGCCTTATTTAAAGATGGTGCCTCGACCCCTCTCAAGCCCACCTGGCTCTGCTCTGATTGGTCGTTACTTAAATAACGGTAATAATGTTATTTAGTCTAGGAAAAACGTAACTTATAAAGTAAGATCAAATTAAAAGTTATTAGAAGCTTTTACAATATCAATAAACATTAAAAATTGCACACTATGCGTTAAACAGTAATTCAGTTGACAACGGCTACTTAATAACTTCCTACTTTAAATATATTGTTAGCTGAGGGTGGAACTTAAAAATAATGGTGGAGTGATGCCAATATAAGAGACCGCACCCTCATTTTCGGGACACACTCGCCACCGAACACTGAAGCCAGCGGAAGCTCTGCCCGTTTGACTAGCCAAAATAATTAATCATATTAACTGATAGTTGATTAAGTTAATGTTGTATTTTTAAATCATTTTAGTGTTAATTACATTTATTCAATTCTGTTAGTTTTCTTATTAATTCAAAAAGTACTGTAGTAGTGTATAAGATTGTTTTCTTAATTTTCCCTGCTTCTGATCCTTAAGATCAGAAGTGGGATAGTGAAACTCCCACGTCCTTGTTTGTACATCCTGATACGATGTGTTTCCATTGTTATTTCTTTAATTGGCTAGTCATACGATCAGAAATATATTTTTGGAAATTGTAACTTCCCTTGTTTAAAAGGACAAATTAGCACTTTGTTTTCGGTGTTTCGTATAATATACGTAAGTAAGACGTGATGTGAAGGTGTGATCAAGTTTTATAATGTCAACTTTGGTGAGTACGTTCCAATTGTTTTCTTCTCCGCTTTAAAATAACAAATAGAAGTTGTATTTGTTAGCTTTTTGTGTAAATTTTAGAATGGCTCAATTTTAATATTTTGTCGTGTCTACCCTATTGATCAATTATTTACCGTAACTTGAATGCCCTGCTATAAATTACGTCTAATTTTAAATACTTGCTAAAAAAAAGAAAACGTGCCTAATAAAAGGCGGCAGAATAGGAGTCGATCGCGAAATCGCAGATCGCATTCTAGCCAACATGATTCACGCTAGACGACGTAGCCCTTCTAGCAATATTTTAACCGAAACAATGCAACAAATTTTGAGAGTTAGAAAGCTGATGTTTTCTTCTGAGAAGATTTCCAAGAACCATGTGGTAATTAAATTGTGTTTTTTAATACAATAGTACTATATTTTGTATTTTTTGTTGTTTTGACTATTATTCTATCTCGATACATATCCAATAAAGTATCAATGACTACACTTGATATTTTATGTACAGTCAGCGTCATATAGATCGTCACAGACAGGATATGCAAATATATAGGTACACCAAAAGTATTCAATTATATCGGTACAACAAAAGTCCTCAAAATAATAGATACATTCACCCTGCTCAAATACATCGGTACATACACAGCGTCAAATATATGAGTACATGCAAGATGCTCATAAATATCGTAGCAGCCACAGCGTCAAAGTAACGAAGCAGTCAAGGTGCGCAAAAATATCGGTACATTTGACAAAATTGAACTCTATCTCTATATACTTGTGATACAATTTGGAATAAACTACTTCTGTTACATTCATTTGACACTTTGTATTAACATTATAGGTTGTCCGGAAAGTTCGTTCTGATTTTCGATATAAAGCTTACAATAGACTGTAGCTGAAGTGGATTCATTTTCGGATTTCCACCATTATCAAACGTCACAAAAATTTCTATATTGTGAATAATTTCATTTCATTGGTTGAGATAAAAACTAATTTTTAAAATTTTATCCAATAATAAAAGACGTTTTAGGTATAGAGTGGTACCAATATAATTTAAAAACATTTCCAAAAATTTAAGAGAACAGGGTTTCAATTTTCCTTATAAACAGTCACGAACTTACTGGGCAACCCAATATTTTTCTTCTCCTGTCATAACGCTTAAATATAAAAGTTTGTCATGCCGAATATGACAGATACGTATTAACTAATATCAAATTTTGCCTTGTCACAATATATATAATACTAGATTGGCGCAGTATTCTAGTATGTTTGCCGTAATATGTAAGTTTACCGGTTCGAATCTCAGGCTACTTTTTTTTCATTTTATCAATCACGGGGTTATTTTTTCATAACTAGTAAAAATTTGGTAATGTAAAATTTTGCTCGACAATTTTTTTTTATAATTTTCGCTGTCGGGTAGAAAGAAATTTAAATAAAGTTAACAACAATTATTTCAGACCATCGCGGGTGAAGTGAGTGGGCGGAGCGTGGATTGTCTTTGCGGGTTTTAAGAATGGTACGCGCGGAAACTATACGTACAAGTGTTATCTACATATGTGTACCCATGCAACCTGGAATGTTTATTGCAATCGACCAAAAATTTGATGTTGTTTGGATATTGACATTCAGTTTTTTTCTTTGTTTCTTAAATATAATCAGTATCAGTAAAAGGTAAAAGTAAAAGTGTTATTTTTACCGGTACAAGTTTAACAAACTTGAGTAATAAACAAATTACATGCCAATAGCATCGCTTTATCTCCTTCATTTTTGTTTGAAATAGAAAAATACTTTAACGGTCAAACTCATTAGTCCAAGGCAATATCAAAAAGTACCTAATAACTACGGCGATAGAATTTAATTACATGTGCTTCGATATTAAAATTAAAAAGTTTAAATATCAAAAAAAAAAATAGTGGCTTGGGATTTGAACCGCCGACCTTTCGTACCAACGGCGGCGAACGGTAAGGCCACGAGACCAAACTAGCATATATGATGACAAACTTAAATTTGATGTTGGTTTTATCTTCCTAATATCTGTCATCCGCGTCGAACACTTTTAGTAAATTTTGAAAAATGGTTTGATGCAAGTGTCAAATGAATGTAACAGAAGTAGTTTATTCCAAATTGTATCACAAGTATATAGGGATAGAGTTCAATTTTGTCAAATGTACCGATATTTTTGCGCACCTTGACTGCTTCGTTACTTATGACGCTGTGGCTGCTACGATATTTATGAGCATCTTGCATGTACTCATATATTTGACGCTGTGTATGTACCGATGTATTTGAGCAGGGTGAATGTTTCTATTATTTTGAGGACTTTTGTTGTACCGATATAATTGAATACTTTTGGTGTACCTATATATTTGCATATCTTGTCTGTGACGATCTATATGACGCTGACTGTACGTAAATAAATCTTATTCCATATTTACGTTAAAATGTTGCTAAATGTTTTTATATTCGTAATTACTTAGTAAAAGTCAATGAAATGAAAGTTCGCTTTGAAATTGTATAGAAGTTCTTAATAAAATAACAGGTAATGCTTCACAAAACCGAATCAAGCCAAATTTACATTACATATGTCTTAAACGATAGGGATTATTCTTACACTGGTTTGGAAGTTTTTTTGGGGTCGTAACTTAAGTTGAAAAAAAAGGAAGAAAACTACATAGGGTAAGTTAAGTTTGGAACAATAAAAAAAGGAACAATAGAAAAGCGCAGGATAAGTAAAGCTAGGTTTATAACATGTAATAAAATACCAAAAGCAAACTGGAAAGGTTAGATTTGGAACATTTTTAATACCATAAAAAAACATCGATCATCATCATGTGACAAAACTGAAAACATATGAAACAATTTTATTATCTCACTGAAATAAATTAAGACCCAGAAAAAAAATCTTCATAGTAATTCATATATTCATCTTCAGCAATCTTCATAGCAATAATACTCATGGTGATCATTTCCTAAAGTTTAAAATTGATTTTACGAAAACTTGGTTTGATTCGCTATTGTAAAGTTGTACCAAATAAAATTAGTATTCAAATGTTAAAAGACTGTTTATGGTTGTGTTGGTCGGACTTTAAAATGGGACTGTGACTCACTTACCAATGACAAATTGACCGAAATTTATTATTAAAAAGTACAAATCTTTAGGTTTGTTTATAATAAAATTATGAATAACATCAACAATATATGATCTTATAAAAATAAAGATATCTGTAATTGTTTATTTTTCTAAATAAACTAAAGTTACCAGCAGTTACATCCAACCTCTGAAGTTTCTGTAACTTATTAATTAATAAGAATAAGCTTTACAGTTATAATTAATTACAAAGGAAGAACATTGTATGAACAACTTATCAAGTTTTAATACTTTCTGTTTTTAGGTGTGAAACAAGTAAAAAGTAGTAGAAAACATAATCTATGGATTCACAGAAATATAATTTTAATAAAGATAAAATTTTACAGTATATTCATATTTAAAAGAACTAAATGTTGAACTAGAACTTATGACCTTTTGCTGATGAAAATAACATAAAAGTAAGTACAAGACATATGCCAAATTCTACATGGTAAGTGGTAAATATTAAGTAAGTAAGCACATATTATATTTCCAGCAATTACTTGAACAATTTTAACTTTTTAAATTGGCTTGATATTTAGTATAAAATGGTTTGCTCGAAACATGAAAAAGATTCAATAATAAAGATTAACTTAAACATTATTTAGGTTGTGTGTAGAATATCTCTCTATTATTGTTTCAAATATTGTAGATCAAACTGTAAATTGGTCATGACATGACAAGTTTTTCAAACTAATTTGATTTATGATTCTATCAGACATTTCACAAAAATGGGCAGGCAATAAAAGTTCCTATCTGTACCTGTAAAAACTAATCATAATTTTTTTACATGGTTTGTGAGTTCCATCATTGTAGAGAATTGCAAAGAAGTTTTGTAAGTAAAGGGGAAGAGATCCATAAAATCAAAGAAACCACTTTTTTTTAATAAGGTATGTAATTAGGTGAAAAGCAATAATTAAATTGATTATGTTGTACACTTGAATCAATTAACTACCATTTCATTCTGTTGCAGATGAATGAATGCACCTCTTCAAGTTCAATCGGCTCAACGGTCGTCGGAATCGAACATCAAGACAAAGGAAGTACTGTGTGGACAAGGGAAGATAAAGTGAGTTCGTTCCATATTTTCCCTTCTAAATCCTCTTCAATTGGCTTCCTATTGTGTTAATATAATTGTTCAATTTCACGCTTACGCATTTACGAGCGACTAATTACCAAATAGTGAAGTACCCACATTATATATTTTTTTCTTCGTCGTATAACTTATCGATAATTTTTTCCTTTTAATTTAATAATGGCCCAACTAGATGTTTTAATTCGAAAACGTAGTGGCATGAAAGCCAAGCTTACAAATTTTTCTAATTATATTAGCTCAATTAGCGCTTCTGGCATAATTTCCGAACTTCAACATGAATTGCAATGTCGACTAAATAAATACGAGGCCTTATACGATCAATTCGATGAATTACAGGTGGAGATTGAGGTGTGTTCCGACAAGCCAGAGGACGAATATGAGGAACGTTCAAATTTCGAAGAGCGTTATTACGCGCTGATGGCGCAAGCGCGCAGTCTGTTGTGCCGTGAAGGTGCAACGGATGATGGCCGCTCTGTTGCAGGCTCGATATGCAAACAAGCAGGTGACTCATTACAACGCAACTTTATTCGCTTACCCAAAATTGATTTACCTCGCTTTCATGGTAGTTATCAGTGCTGGCTTGAGTATAGGGACACATTTTTATCATTAATTCATAGTAGTGCTTCTATCGATAATATAAGCAAGTTCCACTATCTGCGCGCCTCGCTCTCGGGTGCGGCGCTCGACATTATTTAAAATATAGATTTTAAAGGCGACAATTATTTAATGGCGTGGCAGTTGCTATGTGATCGATATGACAATTAATTAGTCGTCAATTAGTGCATAATCACGTACAGGCATTGTTCAATGTTGAACAGGTTTTTAAAGAATCGAGTCTTTGTTTACGTCGTTTGCTTGATTATTATTAACAAAAATATTCGAGCCTTAAAAACATTGAACGAGCCGACGCAACATTGAGATACGCTTGTAGTTTACATTATGTCAAACAAATTAGACGACGTAACCGGTAGACATGGGGAAGAATATCGTAATGTCTTATCGAAACCACCATCTTTGCAACAATTTTGCGAATTTATTAGTAACAAAGCTGATTTATTGGAAACTATAGAAAATAAACAAAGTACAAATGTAAATAAAACAATTTCTAAAAATAACAGTTATATAGTCGCATCAAACATAAATAATAGTCGTTCCTTTGCACAGTCAAAAAATAACAACATGAAATCTTATAATTTGTCATGTCCTTTATGTTCAAAAAATCATCTTTTATTTACATGCGTACATTTTCGTAGTTTAACCGTTGAGGAACGATTAAAAAAGGCAAAGGAATTAAAAATATGTTTTAATTGTTTACGCCCCGGGCACGGTACTAAACGATGTCGATTAACGCATTGTAAGTATTGCAATAGTAAACATAATACTCTTTTGCACACCGAAGAGTCTAAGCCTACTTCATTTCAAGACCCGATGCCTAGTAGTTCTAGTGTCGCATTGCCTATTCACCATTCTTCATCATCCATTGCTTGCGCTAATCAAAATAATATTGCTTTGTCGAGTAATACTTCCATACAACCTACTACTTATTCGCATGTTTTACTGTCCACAGCTATGGTGAAAGTGATTGACGACAACGGCGACAGCATGGACGCACGGCTTCTACTTGATAACGGCAGTACGGCTAACTTTATAACGCAGTCGCTTTGCAGTAAGCTAAAATTACCTACACGTTCCGTAAGTTCTGAAATTAATGGCATTAATAATCAATCGTTAACTAGTACCCAAGCTTGCAACCTAACAATCCAGTCCCAGTGTTGTAGGTATAGAACGAATATAGATTGTTATATATTACCGGAGATAACTAAAATACTTCCTTCTACTTTAATAGACGTCAGTCAACTTTCGATGCCCGCAGATCTACATCTAGCTGACCCTACGTTTAACATACCGTCAGTAGTCGATATTCTCGTTGGGGCTGAAGTTTTCTGGGATGTTATATGCAATAAATCAATTAACCTAGGGAAAAACAAGCCTAACTTAGTGAAATCAAAATTAGGTTGGATTGTTACAGGCCAACTACCGAGACAGTCAACATCAAATTTTACGCAGTCTTGTAACTTGTGTATAAGAGATCTGGACAACAATTTGAAAAGGGTTTGCCATCTTCCAAATCTACTTGCCATTACAACGCATCACAACTATTAAATCTAGCTGGATTGAATCGCGAGTCAGGTTTTCGATCTTTAACAAATAAATTTTCTAACTTTAATCGTCTTATAAGAGTAATGTCATATGTGCAACGTTTTGTATATAATCTTAAAAACAAAAAGTAACAAACGAACCGGTTTACCTACTATGGATGAATTAGATCAAGCCTTAAAAAGCGTAATGCAGAACGTTCAAATTGATATGTTTCCCGACGAATACGTTTTGTTAAAAAAGGTAAATCGTTACCTCGTAAGAATAGACTTTCGTCTTTGAGTCCGTTCATAGACGGTGACGGTGTCATACGTGTAGGCGGAAGGCTTGAAAACTCATCTTACGAATAAAACATCCTATTTTGCTGTGTAGTAAACATCACGTTACTAAAATATTATTTCAGAAATATCGCATAGATTTATTGCACGCAGGACCTCAACTGCTCTTAGCAAATATACGTCAATTATATTGGCCGTTAGGGGGCAGAAATCTTTCTAGAATAATCGTAAGAAATTGCTTAAGATGTTTCAGGTATAATAATACAACTATACTGCCTGTCATGGGACAATTACCAATTTCTCGTACCAACTTAGAATTTCCATTTTTACATTGCAGTGTCGACTATGCCGGACCTATACTGATAGCTGACCGGAAAGGATGAGGGTATAAGCTTATAAAATCGTATGTGTGTATTTTTGTTTGCCTTGCAGTCAAGGCTGTGCATATTGAGCTTGTTACAGATCTGTCTAAGGAAGGCTACTTTGCTTTGAACTGTTTCGTGGCTCGTCGGGGCAAACCTCAGTCCATCCTGTCAGACAATGCAACGAACTTTGTCGGAGTTTCCAACGAGTTGGAACAATTTTTACAGACTTCAAACCTCCCTTCGGAGGTCGCTCAGCAGGGTATTAAATTTTCCTTTGCCCCTCCATATTCTCCACATTTCAACGGCATTGCTGAAGCAGCGGTTCGTTCGACAAAATATCATCTTAGGCGCTTGATGCAAATGACTCACTTTACATATGAGGAACTTACCACTTGTCTAACTCAAATTGAAGCCGTTTTGAATTCCCGTCCACTCACCCCTCTCTCATCTGATCCCACTGACCTATCTGCTCTTACTCCTTTCCATTTCTTAATCGGACGATCTCTTTTATCTGTACCTTATCCACAGGTGACAAACATGAAGGTCGAGCAATTGCAACATTACGAAAGAATCAATTATATGAAGCAACATTTTTGGAAGCGATTTTCTAAAGAATACGTCTCTTTACTTCAAGCTAAGACTAAATGGTTCCATTCAACAGGAAATCTATCTGTGGGGACTCTTGTACTATTGAAGGAAGCAGGTCAACCTCCCCTACTGTGGCCATTGAGACGAGTCACCAAAATTTACCCTGGCGTCGATGGCGGTTCAAGATTGGCAGAACTGAAGATGAAAGGGATAACTGTTCTGCGAAGCTACAAAAACATCTGTCCGCTTCCCTTGGACTAGAATCTACTTACCACTCTTACATCATGACTCTTGCCTTACAACCACTTTCGTCTGTTTATCCACAGCCATGGGCCCATCACTCTGCTTCTTTGAACAAAGGTGTTCAACCCGGGGAGGATGTTCGCGCCTGAGGTGCGGGCAACACCACTACCGGTGCGAACCGACGTGCGGTGGCACGAAACGTCAACTTGAACTTCCGCTTTCGACCGCCGATGCATACGCGCAACGATCAATTTGTCTATTTGCAACTCTGTATTTACCGCTTATTAAACCATTACAACCAAATAATTGTGTTTGGCCTAAACATGCAGTGTATAGAAAATAAAAATATAATAAAATATAGGGAATTAAGTATCAAGTACAAAAGATAAAAAAAATACCATTTAGTGAAAAATATGAAACAAAATTAATTTATTAAATTTGGATTTTACAAATATCACAACTTATAATTATATCTTAAACTTTTTTGGAACTAAGTAATAAAAAATAAACAGAGATTGTATACAATTTTCTTACAAGTAATTTAAATTTCAACACAGGTACTTTACCCCAAAATGATGCCTCCTAAGCTCATTATTTTTCTTGTTAAGGAATCTATAAGGTTCATGATAATTTTATGAATTTATTTGAGAAGTAAAACTTAAATATTGTATTCTATTTTTACATTACATAATATTTAACATGACTTGTACATTTGCAATGTTTTGATAGGAAAAGTTTGGATTAGGGGACTATTTGGAGCGTCGGCAGTGCAGTTGGCTCTTGACCGGATCATATTTTACATATCCAAGTACGATCTCCGCTATATAGTAATACGTTCTTAGAATTTCATGATAACATCCATTCTTACTGTAATTACAAATCGCATACAACTGCATAGAAATTCAAAGATATGTGTGAAGTCAACCAACCCTCACTGGCTCTGCGTTGTTGAATAAAACCTAGTCGCATTCTTGAGGGTAGGCTCCGAGCTTCTCAGTAGAATATATTGTGTCCGTAGTGAGCTTGATGATGACGACTTGTTTTGCTTCAATGCATATTGTCTTGTTAGCAATTTTCTAAATATTTTACCAACAGATAGGAGCTAATCTCTTTCCAGTGCTATTCTATTTCTCCCGACGAGAGTGGCACTACTACTCCAGTTCTATCAGAAAATATGAGCTATCAAATAAACAAACTGGAACAAATAAGCATTTATTATAGTTGGGTATTTTGTTGGTGAACTAAACAATAATATGTTCGCTTTAGTCAGAAGATTAAATTAAAGTTGCAATTAACGAACTTGTTTTATTTTTCCAAATTGTTTTCCTTCAAATAATACTTTCAAACGTCAAAAAGGAAACTGACAGATAGATTTTTTTAGGTTTGGTAGCAACGTAGACTTGTTCATAATATTGCTAGCATTGAAAATGTCAATTTTTATTCTCCGTTTGTGTATCTAATTAGTCAAGGGTCTCGTCTCTTATATTATAGACTCTTTGGTTTAATGGCGG